ATGTAATTATGTAAGAATGTTAACACTGTTATATTTTTTTAGTATATTACTTGTGTGGTGTAGAAGAGAATTATTTATGTAGAGATACTGCTTGCAAACCAATGATGTAAGATGATGTCATGGGGTAGGACTGGATAAGTCTGACTTCTTCCTACTCCATTCAAGCATGTACTAGGTATAAGCAAATTGATATTGGATTAGCATTTGTTGGATATGTGTAAAATTATGTGTGTTGTCATATCAACTGTTTTTACATGCTTGAAAGAATAAATCAAATCAAATCAAATTTCCGACTGGAAAATTTACACTTCCGAGTTCAACTTGAATGCATTCTTAATGTTCCAGTGTTTATTATGGAACCAAAAAGTGCATCAATAATACATAAATAAATATTTTATTTCATAATCACTTTTGGGCTCCATAGGTTGGAGGTAGGCCATAGTATCCCTGCGTTTTAAGCCAGGTACCACCCAACAAGCCCAGGGCAGAAGACTTCAGCCCTGACCATGCAGAGGTCTAAAAGTCACTGCAGGCTCACGAATCAGAGTAAAATGATCAAGATATGTATGAATTTGGCTTCATCCTCCCAGTTCTTTCAAATTTGAACCGGTTCTCAAATTAATCACAACACAGCTGCAGTAAGTGAAACTCAGAAACACAGCACTATAGCTGGCTATTTTTAACTCACCATCTCAATCACTTCTTAAATTATTTTATTTTGGTTTATTTACACTGATTGATACATCAGAAGAATCTTCACAATTGCATCACAGGATGTCTGACTGTTGCATGGGTCTCTATCCCAGGAAATGTAGCATGAGGCTTACACCTCCACATCAGGGACAGGAGAATTTTAGACATAACCTCTTGACTTTCTGTCCATTGAAGTTGTTTTGTAACTTACCATGGAACCACACAGTCTGAGTTGGAGTTGCCACATAAAGTATGAAGCATACAACAGTTGTTTTAGCCACTGAGTGCCACCTGCAGTTTATGTTTCATATATGTTCATCTGTCTATATTGCTCTTAATTTCATCTGAGCTCATCAAAGTAAAGTGACTGAAATGGTTCTGGTCCTCCTTTAAACATTCACTCACTGTAGAAGGGAACGAGAAATTAATCTTTTCAACCATGCAGCAAAGGCCAGCAGCAGGTGAAATACACGCGACAATAAAAGGAAACTATAAAGAGAGAATAAACACAGGTTTTTCCTAACAGCCTAACCAGTATAGATTTATCAAGCTGAATCAGCTGCCATGATTTTTTTTTTTATTGTGAATGCCTATGACACAACTTTTCATGTGAACACTGAATTAAAAGACTTCCTATAGCATGAGAGGGTCAAACCCATTGAGCAATAGACATGACTGCAGCACTTTATGCAGCTTTTAGATCTTTAGTGTGAGGCTGCTTTCAATCATGAAAATGTTACAAACATGCGATCCAATGTGAAGCAGGAAACCAGCACAGACGCGTCAGTCCAGCTGCTGCAGATTTCACCAGCCTCGACTACGAGTGGCCATAGCTATCATGCTGAACCCAGGCTTCAAACGTTTTGTTTCTTTAGTCAGTAAAGGGCCACCGAGGCAGTTAAGTCAGTTATTTTATTACTATTTTCCCACAGTGGACTAAAGCAGAGAGAGCACAAATAACCTCACTGAAACAAACCTCCTACAGTTATAAGCTCCCTGTCCATACTGGAATGAACAAAAACATGTTGCTCCTCATCTCTGCCAGCTGGCACTACACCAGCCTCACCTGTCCCCCTCAGAGCGTCTTTCCGAGGCAGAGGAGAGAATGCCACAAAAGAGAAATCGTTTAAGACAAACTACATTTCAGTTCAGTGTGATAGCTGGAGGCTCCTGCTGTTTTGCATGCTGGTTCACTGTTAAGCCTTACTGGACAAAATCACTGATGAAAAATGTGTTCCACCTGTGCTTTTCTTGCTAAGACAACTCAAACCATCTGCCATGAAAAAGGTGAATTAGCAGAAAAGCCCCAGTGCTTCACGAAAATACTGAATCAATATGAAGCACTTGTTACATGATGTAACATCAGAAAGGTCCGGTGCCATGTGTCTGAGGGCTGTGTACAGAGCCTGGAAACCTCTTTCCCCATGTGACAAGACCGCTCATGTCACTCCACTGGCTCCCTGTTGCTGCTCGCATCACGTTCATATCACTAATGCTCACCTACCGTCATTTACATTACTCCAGGCATGGCAGGGGGCACACAATGATCAATAGTCATAATACGCTGAGATGTTGTCTTGAGAGCCCTTTGTATACAAAGAGACAGTACAGTATGAACAGCTGGCATTCACTGCATACATTCACAAACTGCTCTTTTACATTTTCAGGTATTTTACGGGTTTACAACATCATCTGTACCAAATCCAGAAAACAGAATATGTGCTCTGTGAGCCAAATTCAGACTAACCACAGCAGCTTCAGTGTGAATATGTAATCAGGTCATTCCACAGACAATACAAAGTTTTCTTCTGATGTGAAGAGAAACCTTGGATTTGTCATGTTGCTTTCAGTTGGTCAGTGTCGATCACATCGCAGAGCACAGTTTGGGAGAGCTCGTCTCTGCGTTGGCCTTCTGCCGGATGCACTCTGGATGATTAAAACAACGACACAGGATATCATTTGTCCTCAGAGACACAGTCATGTGGGAAATGGAGCAACAAAAAACAAAAACCAACCCAACTTCATGGTGCATTCTTGTTCTTTATATGGAGCTAGTCCATGTCATACCAGTGTTCATTTTGACGCCTAAATTTGATTTCATTTTAGTCTTTGTCTTTTGATGAAAATGCATATTAGTTTTAGTGCAGTTTTCAATAACAACTAAATACCTTTTAGTTTACTTTTTGCCTATTTTAATATTTGTTCTGGCCTGTGTCTTCTTCATCCTGGTTGTGTACAGTTACCATGGTTACACATGCTGTTCCCATCTATTGTGAGGTTTGTGGAAAATGGTTTTAGTCACACAGTGTCGCTCTGCTCTGCAGAAGTTGGACTCACTCACATTTGAACTAAAATCCTCATCACTGGGTTCAGCTTGAGAGGTGACACTAAATCAGTGGATAACATTAAAACAGTGAGATCTCTGCAGCCAACATTTAGAGCTGATTTATGGTCAACAGCCATCTTGATCCTGGAACTGACAGCAACACAAAAGATATCTGACTGAAAGGAACGTTAATGTTCCATCTACGTCCACAGCATTTCATGTTAAATCATCCTACTGCTTCATATGGCTGCTGCTGCATTTTCCTAGTGTGTCCCAGCGGTTTCTATGCGTAATTCTCTGGATCGTAGATGAATCTGACTGATAAACCTGTTTCTTCCAGGAAGTGCTACCACCAGAGAAACGATGTTGCTGAATGGACAGTAGAGATATTTTGGTGGTGGAGGAAACTGTTTTACTGATCAGCACCTACAGTTTGTGACTCTACAGATGTGGCAGGTTAATAAGTGACTTCATGGCCATTCGTCTTTTTATCACAATGTCATTCACTTTTTATTTGTTGATGAAAAATGTTAAACATTTTGTTATAGTTCTCATTAACAAACATTACTTTTATTTAGTTGTAGTTTCATTTTCTTCCTGAAATTTAGGTCAACAAATATTTTTCATCATAGTTTTCATTAACAAAATTAACGCAGTGTCATTTAATGGCACTAATCTAAAACCAACAGATGGACAGTTACAGAAGTAATACAGTGCTGTTTGACGGGCTTACCAGCCAAGTCTGCACGTGAGATCTCCACCAGCCCCTCATAGAGACCTTTGATCGGGTTCTCCCGTGCCACCAGGACTCCATGAAGCCAGATTAACAGCATGCGGTGACCATGCTCTTTGAAGCTCTTCATACCTACAAGAATTACAATACACACTGTATCAATATCTATGTGAAGTCAGAGATACTGTAGAATGAAAGCAGCTCATTAGCTGATAGAGCCAAGGAGAAAAACCACTACTAAGAGAATGTGGTCCGAGGATAGAAAGCAACATTAAAGTTCGGAGCTGCAGTTCAAGAATAAAGACTAAAAAGTCAGCACTTGCACAGTCGGGCTGCAGATTGAAACTGTCTGACCACATATGCAAGAGTGTTGCTAAACAATTTCCCCATATGCACCTGGGCTGGACGCTAATGACACTTACTAAACACTTGATACAAGTCACTGAATGTGGTAGACTACTGTATAAATACAGATTTCAGGACATGTAAAAACAAATCTGTAAAGTGAACTGACTCATCACTGATTCAGTCAGCTGCTTTCATCAGCTGAGCTCCTCACTGGTGACAGAGTGCTCTGCTGACATAAATAACAGGCTGCTGAACTTAACCTTATATAAAGTATTGTTACAGGCTGATTTTGCACTGAACAGCTGGGACCACAAACAACAAACAGTCAGAATCAGAGCTGAACATGATGCGTTCACCTACTGTTGTATGCACTGAGGTGTATGTGAACTGTGATGTGCTCCGTTACTGTAGTATGTACTGATGTTCCTTTGAACACTGATGTGACTACTGAGCAAACATCTGACTACAGAACTAAATTTTGAAAAATTTTGAAGCAAGGTGATTACTGCCAGCTGTGTTTGCTGGAACACATGACCAAAAGTACTGTGACTGGAGTCAGGTCATAGGAACCTTTCCCCTGCACCTGTTTAAATAAAAAATGCTTATTGACTTTTTTCCTGAGAGTAAGACAGGAAGGTCGAGACCACTCTTGTATCTGTGCATTAACTATGCAGCTAGAGCCAGGACTCATTTAGGACAAT